CTAAAACTTCTAGGAACTTGGCCTCTAAAACTCTGTCTTTTTAACTTCTCATGTGTTCTGAACATTGTTAGTTTCCTCCTGAGAACTCTAGGCGATGAGCTGAGACAGTTTGTAGGTTCACTGCCTTTTTCCTTCTTTCATGGATCAGTGCTCTGTGATCCCTTTTGTCAATGTCTGAAAACCAATGTTTCATATTTTGTCTATTTTTCTAATTGTTCAATGTTTGAGAGTAATGTGATCACATTATTCCATCATAATAAAAAAAAGAAAGTCTTATACTACTTTTTTTGTCTAAACTTATTGAATGCTAAAAAAATATACCCTGAGCTGGTTGGAGTAGCTCAAGTGCAGAGTTCTGCCTAACAGTGTGACACCTTACTTCAAACCCCAGTACCACAAAAACAGTATAACCTTAAAAAGTAATTATTTCTCTTTAAACATCCTACCAATATATAATGGTTTTCAAGCAAAATATGAATAATAGTAATCATTTTCTGTTGTAATAACACAATAGCACAAAATAGATAAGCTATAAGAAAAAGAAGCTTATTTGGCTCACAGTTCAGGAGATAAATTAGGTGATGACCTTGATGGCAGAGTCCAAAGGTCACCAAGAGCATCACAAGGTGAAAGACAGAGAGCACATGTGTGTCTCTTCTAGTCTTTCTCCTTCTGCTGGTGAAGCTTCTTAGCAATCACTCACAAGAATTCCACCCTGACAGTCTTCTCTGATCCTAATCACCTACCAAAGGCCTCACTCTCAACACCAAGGCCAATTAAGTTTCCACCCCCTTCCTGTGTCACAATAGCCATTAATCAAAGCATGAGTTCAGAAAGAGAAATCATATTCAGATCATAGCAACCTGCTAGAAAAATTAATTGCATTTGGAAAGTTTTAATTGTTATTTTTCAATTATGTGTCATAGTATGTAATCAGATTGCCATATAAGACTGGGTTTTTTTGGAGTCAAATTATTCTTCTTATCTTTTTCTTTCTTTTCAGTATTGGATTTGAACTCAGGGCTCTCAGACAACCCCACTTGAGTATGCCCCCAGTCTTTTTTTGCTCTTAATGTTTTTCAGATAGGGTCTCCCATTTTTTGCCCAGCTGCCAAACCACATCCTCTTTCCTTTGCCTCCAGAGTAATGTATTATACATATGTACCACTATACCTGGTTTATTTTTGAGACTGGGTCTTGCTGACTTTTTCTTAGCTAAACCAAAATTACAATCCTTTTTTCACCTCTAGTAGCTAGGATTACAGCATACACCAATATCCTGGCCCTTGGAGCCAAAAGTATTCTTAAATTCAACTGTATTTTCATTTTTAAAGCTATTTTCATGATTTTTTCCTAAATATAAACAGAATTTAAATCATGACTCTTCTGTAAAAGAACTCTCCATACAGGATTGTAGTTCAAAATTCCATACTTACTGGGAAACTTCATGGTCTTTGTTTAGTTGTTTCATTACTTTCAGGACTTGAAAAAGAAGTGCAATGTCTTTACCTACATTTGGGTCTCCTGTTACTGGTTCTTCATAAATTACAGTAGAGAATTTTACGTTCATCTGGGTTTTAGGGAGAACGAGGTTAAATACATCAAACATCCACTCATAGTTTAAAAGATGTTTTGTGAAGACAGGTTTATTTCCAAATAAAACTACACATCTGTCTGGAACCTGTTTGTCAATCTCCAATTAGATTTCAGGTGGCAAAGAATTTCCCAGTTCTCTCAGAAGAATACAAGATGAATGCATTCAGAGAACCATATTCAAAAGCCAAATCATGGAGTATGATTGCTTATTTCACCATGTTTTTAGTTTGGTTTTGGTTTGGTTTTGGTGTGTTTTGTTTTTTGTAAACAAGCATGAAGATTTCTTTGTCTAGAAAATGAAATAATTCTCAGATCATCTAGGAAAATTAAGAAAGAATTGAACTGAGGTAAACCAAGATGATTGATCCTTGCATTTGAAATGCCCCACAGCCAATGTAGGTCAGCTAAGCCTTAATCTTTCATTTACGGAGTAAGTGCTTTTGAAACACATTACTAAGAAAAGATTCTCTGGCAAGAATGGTGTGTTCAGTGGTTAGGTAATATGCAATAATGACATTTTGATGTGTGTCTCTACATCAAAAACACTAGGTAACATTTGTCAAAATCTAAGAGGAGGAGAAATTTCAGTTACCTACTAATTAGTGCAGCAGGAAAGTTAAAAATACTTTCCTTTTACTCCCAGAACCAGAATTTTGAAAGTGTCAGAGAGTTTCTTCTAAGGTTTTTGGATTAAATTAGAGGGCACAGACATATATTCTTCCTCTTTAACTGACAGCAAAGGGACAGAACTTTTCAATGAAGACAGACCTTACATATTGATTATTGACAATGATTCTAAACTGTTATTTGCTGCTCTAGTGTGTCAAATTCCTTGATCTATGAGTCTAGACTAAATTATAGTAAGCCCATGGCATTTGTGTAATTGGCATTTCCAGTATTAAAACTAATGAGAAACCTTGAAAAATTCTAAAGCTCAAGTAAATTTTCTGATTGCAAATTTAAATCTCTAAGCTCAAGACTGACGTGGCATAGGGAGGCTCTGTTCACCAAAGTACCATACATTTCCGTAATGCTTTGATTTCAAATTTTATTTCTCTTCCTCCATGGGATTTTTATAGATCTTGTATGTGAATAAGCTTACCCCTTGGAAAATCCCAAAAATATCAAGAATAAGTTTTGTTGATAGACCATACAAAGGAGAAGAGTCAGTCTAAGAATGCAATTTTCCTCAGCCATGAAATAAAAGGCACAGATGAGTAAGAGCAAGAATGTGCTTCACAGATGTGAAGGTTGTATGAGTGAGTTAGCCACACTTTCTGAACAAAAATAAGAAAATCCTATTAATGAAACACATTGGCAATACTTCCTCTAGTATAAAAATTGAGCATTAAATGAGATAAAATTTTTAAATAAAACTATGGCATGCAGTTACATCTACGCTGTATGTAATTCTAAATGGAAATGTAATTCAGGAAAAAGTCAGAAGCCATATATACTCTATAAAGTAACAGGTGGACAGGCCTTGTATGTTTCAAAAATGGCAAGAAATGAGTGCCTCCACAAAGTGAAGAAGCCATGAAGGAAAAAAATAATCTTTGCTTACATGAATCCTTCAGTGCATTTAACCATGAATCATCCATACCAACCAAAGTAACTGTTTTAATTTTGCATATTCAGGTAAGAGCTTGGTTAATGTTCCTTGGAAATGATGTAATGTAGTTTGGAGGTGTTTTATTACATTTATTATCATAGCTTTTAAAAATCACATTAGTACTTTATTTGTAGGATCATTAGCATCGTGAAGTTTTTTTTTGCTTTTTTAGTTTTATGTGCCACTCTTTGTGAAGAAATTATAGCTCAAGTGATATTTTTCTAACTTTCTACCTTTTATTTAATAAAGATGATAGATAAGTTTAGTGGAAATAGATACATTTGTGTGGCCAACTTTTCTTAAAATGATTTTTAAATGAAACTACTCAATAATATTTGAATATTTGTGCTATACTTTACATTATGTGCTTAAATCCTATCTTTATTTGTAGGAGAAAGTAAGAATAATGCATTTCAAATTTTCATTCTACGATTAATTGTTAAGTTTTTGAAAATAATAACATAGTCAAATAAAGGCAATTGTATTCAAATGTAGTCAGTTACAGGAATTCACAGAGAAAAATACTATCGCAGCACCTATATCCAGCATGCATAATACCTACATAGCTAAGTGTTGTTAATAATAGTTTGTGATGAATGCCAGTTGTGTAACACACGTGGCCAAGAAAGACCCCTATGTCTTGAGATCACACCTAGGTTATTAGAACACTCAAAAAGATGCACCCCTGTCTTGGGACCCCACCAGTCTTGGAGCTCTGCTCTTTTTTTCCTATCTTAATAAATTCTTCCACTTCATCACAAAAAGACAAAAAAGATTGTGTCAAACGTTGAAAAAAGTAAACAACCACATTATGTTTAATTATTATCCTATATTTTCTGTAACTCTTTTTAGTATACAGCAACAAAATTAATACTTTTCAAATGTTCTATCATTTTATCATCTTTGAAAAGAAATAGACTTATTTTTAGTCACTATCCATATTTTAAAATCCCTAAACAAAGAGGGACCACATGTACATGCTTTTATAAAATTAATAGCATCATTAACCAGCCCTGGCTGAAGATTGTTGTATGGTTGTCGTGAGAATTTTGTTTAAGGTTTTGATGTAACTAAGGCTGTTGAATCTAAGGGTGGAGCAATGAAGAAATGATGCTAAGAATTAGCCTAGCAACCTCTACTATTGTACATTGGCCCTGAGAAAGACATTTAAGATTCCTAGGTCTTTGGGTTAATCCTTTGGATAATATTTCTGTTGTTTAAAACATGTAATTTTATGAAGCTGTTTTCTTTTTCTGTGACTGCAGGAAAGATCATTATCTCCTTTTCTAAGGGAAAGCAGCATACTCAAGAAGATAAATATTTGTCCAACATCAAATAAGCAAGCGTCAAAGTTGAAGGCCAGGACTAATCCCCAGGTTTCACTACTTCACTTTGCACAACCTATCAATAAGTTAGCAAAATATCAAGATCATTATATATAGAATAAAATCAGAGTTGCAAAACTGAGAAAGTCAGTGGTTACTATATTTCAGCTACCACTGATGATACAACAGTGCCCCTAGGGCTCACCTGTGTTTGCAGGATCAGGTCTTTGAAGGTACCAAAGACCCCTCTAATGGATTTGTATCTTTAGATTATTATATGGTCACTGGTGTTACACAGGATATATCAAAGCGATGATATCAGCCACCACATTTTATTTTTTGGAATATGCCCCTAATGGGT